TTGGATACTTCCTCCCATATATTGAGTGGACTATGGTGTAATTGCAACGACTGTAAAGATCAATTGCAAGGGTTAACAATCTTCACACTTATTTCAGTAAATATTACAAATCCTTATAAATATTTATTTACAAATCCTCTTTTTAACTTAAGCTAAGATATTTATCTAGTACAAGAAATAGTTGACTGCTTAATAAATGTTTGATCAAATTTTATTTCAAATGTGTTCCATCTATAGTTTATTAAATCACATTTAAAGGTTTGATTTCAAAAATGAACAGTAATTTGTTTTCCGTATTTGACTAAACAATCAGATATATCGGTATAGAAATCAGACATATGACAGCGATATTTGATTTCAAAAATTAATACTTGGCATATAAAATGATATCAATCTGTGATTGCTATGTGTGAAAAGAGGAATTGTCAATTAAATTACGAGTACTTTTACTATACTTTAAACATAAAGAATAAAGAATATTATATTTTTTATATTTGTGTATATTTTTATCTTTATATACTAGACTGATTATATATAAGTTGGCTGAAAACGTATTTAGTGCAGAATATAAGTAACTTAAGACAGATGTACTTACAGACTGATTAAATTTTAAAAGCAAATACTAACGAATTTGCTTCAATAAAAAAGATTGAATATTAACTTTTTTATTAATAAAGAGATTTTTCAAACAGTAGTGAACTACAACAAAAAAAATTTATTTTATATTATTTTAATTAATTGAATTTTTGGCTGACCATACAGCTGTTTCTAGTATTGCCAAATACCCATCATCAGTGGTCTTGCAAATAATTCTTGTATTTTATTATTCATAAATAATTTTTTTGATACCCCAAGTACCAGGAATCGAACTCGGGAAACTCAGATTCAGCCAACCCAAAGCCATACTTGACTTTTATGTTCGCACATTTTTCTGAAGTTTTGTTACTTTGTTGTGAAAGTTTTATTAACAAATTGACTTGTTGTGTTTATATTAGAACCAGTTGTAAAAAATTAAATTTAATAATTATATTTTTATATTTAATTGTTAAATTTCATTATTTTATTTATGTTAATTCCGCATAACAAAGAAAAATAAACATTAATTCATATTTTTTTTTAAATTTCTTTTCTATAATAATAACTTCACCAACTCGTCATGGTAGAGGTGTGGTTTTTCTATTTGCCAAATCTCTAACTCTACTCGCATAAAGTATAGATACATAAAATATTTGCAAACTACAGAAGCACACATTTATTACTCGTACTATGGAGCACGCTTCAGGGCGTTGAAACCATAAACTTCTCATAGTCGGACTTAATAAATAAAATTTGTTGACTCGGCTTAATTGCTTATTTAATTAAAGCTAAAAGTGAATGCAGGAGCATGAACACGTTTGCATAGTTTAAGGCAATTTTAAGTTGCCGCTTCATTAAAATATAAATTACAAATTTCGTTATTCAGTAATATAGGATTTCATCTAAAATCTTGTGGGGTAGAAAAAGAATGGGTATATGCATTAAACTTTAATTTGAGGCTTTACAGTTGAATTGCTTTCGTGCTTAAAACTAATACAAATAAACTTCAATTATTTCGATTGTGGTTATTTGATTTGAATTTTCAAAATTTATTGCATATTACTTTAAAAGTTTGGGATAATTCCTCAATATGAAATAGTTGAAATATTGAAGTATTAGTAACTACTGACTTATTCACTTGTTAGCAAAAATTATACTTATCTATGCAAAACTGCAATGTTCGCTGCTTAATATATTTATATACCAAAAGTTGCCATTACTTCAGATTTATTCAGCACAAATATCAAGAATTTATTGTCATAGATAAAATATTTATTAAATAACTGAATGACACATAGACAGATGCCTTCATTTTGAGTAACAGAAATCTGCTGTTGGGTAATAATTTACGCTCAGGTGGCTCCAGCCTTCATACTTTTATTCAACTGCAAGCAAAGTTACATTCTTGCTATAAGTTCATCCATAAATTTATGCTATCAGATAAACGCACTTTATACGCACTGCCTGCCAATTATTCTCGCAATGTGTGAATCGCATAGTTGAACAGAAACATTTAAATTATTCAGTATTATTAATTGTAAGAGCAAACTATGAAATATTTGATCTCCTCCAGAATTACTGACATTTGTGTCTGGTGTCTGGTATTTACTCGTAATTTGACATTTGACATTAATGCAAAAAGACTTACAGCTGCTAACGATGAAACTGTTAACATTTTATCTGTGCGCAATGATAACAATAGCAAATATGTTGTTGATATAATCTACTAGATACTATGTTTTGTTTCATTCAAATAAATGGGGTAGAGAAATCCAATTTGTAAAGTAGTTTTGCAGCTAATTTTCTTGTTAATTAGTAAAACTAATCATTCGAATAGTGAAAACAACTGGCATATCAGATTAGGAATTGCTAAACTTTGAAGCGCTTCAAAGTGACTAACTAAAAAGTAAAAGTTCGAGTGTATGTATTTGTTAAGACTTGTGAAAAGTTTCAAAGGCTTTGAATGATATATACTTTACAAACTTTGAACTTTTAATAAGTATAAAAATAATTAAAAAGTTCTTGTTAAGGAAATTGCAAGAAATTATTTAAAGTTTGCAATTATATAAAAAAAAAACAAGTAAGGATGTTACTTTTGTCTTTGCCGAAGCCTAGATACATTAAACATAACATTTTAAATTTATATAGAGGTGTCATTCACGTGATAATATTGTAGAAATATAATACATAGTTAATTGTTAATACAACTAATTTTATCAATAAGAATTTTAATTTCTCGGGTTTAAATCGTTTATTTAGCACATAAAAATGTTGAAAACAATTTTATATATTCATTTTTTCGTGTTATTAGTGATTAGTAAAAATCAGTACAACATAGACCATAGAACAAAGAGGAGGACATATATGTAGTTTTAATAATATTAACTTAAAGTATGTAAACATCACATAAAATTCTTATTTAAAAACTTTAATATATATAATTCCAAAATATGAAATAATTTTATAAAAAAATACTTGTATGTTTGTTGCATATTTTTGTTATGTATTCATTATTAGTCATAAAAAAGGAAAAATGAAAATATTAAAAATTGTTATAATTATCTTCATAGATCGATAATTATGATGATGACTCTCAAGGATAATCAAAATATAGAGTATAATAAAAGAAAAAAATTAAACAGCCAGATTAAAAATATATATAAAAAACCATTTTAATAAACCGATCAAAAAATAAATTAAAAAAATTTTATATTAAGAATGTGATAAATATTCTTAAAAAATATTTATAAAGCAGATAGAGACCATCTTTAAAAATGATTAATGATTATCTCCTCGTAGAACTTAATATCTATGTTATAAATACTTTCTACGAAAATACTTTCTAAGTGTAGTTTTTTTATCATTTTTATGTGTTAAATAAACGACTTAAGCTCGCAGCAAATTAAAAATCTTATTGATAAATATATTGTAATATATATAATAATAATAATATATAATTGTACTAAAAAGAACTGTTTTTTGTTAATGCTTATATATTTTTAACTATTAAAGTTAGAAATGCTTTTGCTGTTGATGGCAGTAGACATAATTAAGAATAAGATAAATCTGAAGTTTGTAATACAACCATATCCAATTCTAAAGCTTTCGATATTATTTTTATCACAAATATGTCTTCTGTACCAGATACATATTTCAAAGTGAAATCAAATATATTAAAATTATATTAAAATAAAAAGTTGTTCTATTAAAATCATATTCTTAAATAATCGGCTTAAATGGGAACTATATTTACCGATCTTTATCTTTAATTTAAACCACTTTTGATTTACAGGATGCATTTAAGTTTTGCAGGATGCTTAAGTTTTAAACACATACATCGGAAAATAAAATGTTTTCTAACAAAAAAATGTGTGTGACACTGCACTTTATAAGGCAATTATATCTGAATCTGAAAGGATATGAATAAAATTTTGTACAGAGTCTTTTAAGAATATAAGAACATTCTTTTTCACATTGTATTTATAAATATTTTTATCCAAGGCGAAAAAAAAGAGACAAAAATTGAATGGTTTCGGCCTTTCCGACAAATAATCAGGGTTCAATGCCAAGTTATTTATTCAAAATTTCATTGGAATAGCAAATAAACCTAGCGACTACGTTGAACTGAAGTATACAGACGAAGAAGACTTAGCTTGTTCAGCTAATCAAGAATATGTATACTAGTTAGAATCTGTAGAATTATCTCTCATTTCAAATATGTTTTTCGATATTGACTGTTGTGCAGCATCTATATTTTGACCACATGTTTACTATTTATATTCCAATATAGTAAGAGTAAGTTACCGCTTACACGATCCCTAGTCAGATCAGAGAACGTAATATACGTTTTTCTCCCCATTTTGAAACGCCAGCAGTATTATTTCTAAATTTCATTCCATCGGCTTGGAATATACCATTCGAATATCAAGACTGCTAGAATTTTGGATCGATTCGATTCATGAGAAAATATTAAAAAAAAACGGGCAGGAAAAGGAAAAATATTGTATATTGCCTAAACCGCTTCGAAAAAACATAGAATATAATTCTAATAACAGAATTCATTTATTTCTATAATTCATGTGCATGAAGTGCTATATAAAACATATAGCTCTCTATGGAATAGAATCAATTGTAATGAAAAACATTATTTACAAAAAAATTTTAAAGTAAACATTTCTTAGTAAATTGCGGTTTTCTAGTTGAACTCGTATTGTCCGTGTGCAAAATATCACCTTATCATTTCTTTACTAAGCTTTTATAGCTTATCCATATAATGTTAAAAGTTTCTTATCTAACAAAATAATGCGGTTAATAATATTTAGGTATATTTTACAAACTAACGGACACCAATAGTCTACAGCACTAAAAAATGTAATATAAATAAAAGCCCAGCTCTTGGAGGAAATCAAATCATAAAACGTCTTTACACTTGTTTCATTTAGTAACACCAGCAGTAACGATAGTTAAAATGACGGACCAGAAAGCATTGGAACTTATGTTTCAACGTCCATTGGAACCTATCTTCACTTCCAGGGATAATGGTAAAGCTGCGTTTGATGTACCTGATAGCTACTATACGGATCGCTATCAAAGTGCTAGAGATGAAGTGCAATTAGATCGATTTGGTGATGATGTTGAAACTAAAGTAACGTCAGCACTACTAAAATTAAGAAAAGAATAATATACTTTTCTGTCTTTACTACAGATTCCTCTAAGAGAATTGGCAAAGAAGCCAAATTTAGATTTCACTAAGAAGCTTGGAAAACGCCAACAATTTTCTCTGTTTAATGACAAGCATAAGGAAATTGCTGGTAAACTTATAAAAATATTCCTAGATGCACCAGATGTAGCCAGTTTAATTCCACTTTGTGCTTACGTCAAGTATGTGTATTATATAAAGTATCTATATAAAATATAACTGCATTTACACCTATTTATTATTTTACAAGGGATCGCGTTAATCCAGTACTCTTTCAATATTGTTACTCAGTGGCTATACAACACCGACGGGATACACGGGAAGTACAAGTACCACCAATCGCTGAAACTTTCCCAGCTAATTTTGTAGAACCGGCTGCATTTTTAGATGCCCGCGCTGAAGGTTCTCTTATTGGCAATGCTGGTTCCAGGGTGAGTTTTATTTTATAATTATATACCATGTTAATCTGATTATTCTTCGTTTCTTCCATTTATTTCGTCTTTAGGTACACATCGAAATTCCACAAAACTATACAGCTTCGGATCGTGAAGATGAGCAACGTTTAGCTTTCTTCCGTGAAGACATTGGCGTTAATATGCATCACTGGCATTGGCATTTAGTATATCCTACTGAAGGTCCACGTGAAGTCGTTGCAAAAGATCGTCGTGGTGAACTTTTCTATTACATGCATCATCAACTGTTGGCACGTTACAATGTCGAACGTTTCGGTGCTAGTTTAGCAAAAATCAAACCTCTTAGCAATTTACGTGATCCGATAACCGAAGGATATTTTCCTAAAATTTTGAGTTCCGTTAATAACCGAACATATCCTGGTCGTATATCTAATCAAAAATTGACTGATGTTAACCGCGAAGATAATAATATTGAGATTTCCGAAGTTGAACGTTGGAGGGATCGTATTTTCGCTGCAATTGACCAAGGCGTTGTTTTTGATGTAGATTCATATAACTTTTACTGATTTTTTTTTCAATATATTCTAATTTATTTAATTTTAGTCTACTGGAGCAAATATTCCACTTGACGATGTACGTGGTGTTGATATACTTGGTGATTTAATTGAAGCTTCATCCCTATCCGTTAATAGACAATTTTATGGTAATCTACATAATATGGGACATAATCTAATTTCACTAGCACATGATCCTGATGCGCGCCATTTAGAGGAATTTGGTGTTATGGGTGATGTAACAACCGCAATGCGTGACCCCGTCTTTTATAGATGGCATACGTTTATTGATAATATTTTTGCTAAATTTAAAAAACTACTTGATCCCTACAATGAGTCGCATTTGGGTTTTAATGGCATTACTGTTGATTATATTGAAGCTAAAATTAGATCCAAAAATTCTCGTCCAAATACTTTATTGACTTATTGGCAAAAATCTGATGTTGATTTAGCTGCTGGTTTAGATTTTGGACCAAATGGTAATCTTTATGCTTCATTTGTGCATCTGCAACACGCACCGTTCGACTACACATTCAATGTAACCAACGCTACTGGTAGTAAAAAGAAGGGCACATGCCGCATATTTATTTGCCCAAAAGTAGATGAACGTGGTACACCTTTGAAATTGGAAGACCAACGTTTATTGGCTATTGAAATGGATAAATTCACAGTTGATTGTAAGTAACTTTCGGTGAATTGGTATTTTCGTGGAAGTTTTTTCATGTTTCCGTTTATATACAAATATGCGTTCTAATTCTTGTAGTACAAGCTGGTGAAAATACTATACGCCGTCGTTCGGATCAATCATCGGTAACCATACCATTTGAGCGCTCATTCCGGCGTATAGGTGAACAATATCAACCGAAAGCTGCAGATGAATTGGCAAAATTCCGTTTTTGTGGTTGTGGTTGGCCACAACATTTGTTATTGCCTAAGGGTAGAGCTGAAGGTATGATGTTTGATTTATTCGTCATGATTTCAGACTACGAAGGTGATAAAGTTGAAGAAACTAATACAAGGTCAGTATTATTTTGTCGTTATTTTTTGGTTAAAGTGATTTTACTTTTAAGTTTTCATTGTACTTGAGTTTATTTAAAATATATTAATACTTATTAAAAAATTTTTAATATTAATTGTATATTCTAATCATTTATACAGTCCTGATGTATGTGGCGATGCTTATTCATTCTGTGGTTTAAAAGACAAAAAGTATCCAGACAGACGTACCATGGGCTATCCTTTCGATCGACGCTTACCTGGTGATAATCTGACTGCATTAGTCGGATCATTCCCAAATATGAAAAAAACTGATATCAATATTATTTACAATGACCGGGTAGTTGAGAAGATGTAGACATGCTAAAAATAATTATGATACTGAAATTGGCCTTTGACGTTTCAAAAATGAATATATTATACTAACAATTTTTTATATAACCTTTTATTCAATTTAATTTAATTTTAATAAGCTTCTGTACACTTAAATTACTAAATAAAAAACTAATGAGAGAAATGCACTTTTTGATGTTTTTATAATTAACTTTTGGTGGATATGAAAGCAACGTATAGTCATTATTTGTTTCCATTGTTGTCAGTCACTAAAGGCCGCCAATTTTTAATTAAAATATTTGTAAAATGCAACAAAAGTTTTACACTCGTGTTTATTAAAATTGTTACAAAAAATTTAATTGCTTAAAAATAGATATATATATATATGGCACACATATATATTAATATATAATTTATAAAACAAACATATTTAAAATAAACATATTAATTATAGTTAATATATATATTTTTTATAATGTAGAATAATATTATCATAGTTTTTGGGATTGTACTTTATAATTAATGGAGGAGGTGTGTTTGTTGCTAATTAGTTAGTGGTGATGTTTAAAAAGATATTCAGTTAAATAAACTAACATATAATGGACATTATGTATCCATATTACACATACTCGATTTCAACCTTAACCTTTTCAAATTTTAATGGTACTTAATTGATTCCACTTTTTATATCACTATACATATTTAACTTCCTTTTCAACATATATAATTTTGGTCAAATGCACAAACTTAACTATTGCGTTAAATATATATTTCTTAAATGTTACAATCTTGGAATAGTACCAACTCAAATATTTTATCACATTAAAAGAGTTGTGACCTGAATAGGTCACAACTGAAAAAAACAATGAAAGTTTTCGGCAAGATGAGTGCCACGTTTGGTCACAATTGACTAAAAACCACGACGACTTTCTTATTCAAAATATTGTTTATACACAATCTAGCTGACTGTGAGCATCGAATAGTGACAATTGATGAAACATGATCTACTACTTCACACCTGAGGGAAAACAACAAGCCCGAGAATGGGTACAGCCCAAACGACCACGAACTCAACAATCGTCTTGAATAGTTTCGGCTTCCATATTTAAGGATTTAAGTGTAATAATTTTCATAGATTATTTGGAAAAGGGAAAATGGAAATTAAATGAATAACGGTACGAATTGTTTCCTCACCCACCGTATTCTCCAGATTTGGTTCTCAGTGACTATTACCTGTTTCTAAACTTGAAAAGATTCTCCAACGAGAGATATCCATCAAATGATGAAATAGAATGAGAAATTGAGTTATACTTTGGAAGACTTGTTAAGTTGTGTTATTTAAAAGGTATCAAAACGTTGAAAAATCGTTGGACTCGGTGTGTCGAGCTGAAATGGGACTATATTGAAATGTAATATATAATTTTGTAAAAAAAGCATCAGTTTTTACTACTGCGGCCGGGTATTTATCAATCCATCAGTTTGTATAACCTAGTATTTATTAAAATATTAATACGGTGGATTTATTCTTTCGAAATAATCAAGTACTGATAATATGAATCGAGTTAAAGGAAGAATGAACAAATTTTATCTTGTAGCTATTATAACTCTATTGAAAATAAATTTAATATTTTGCTAAGCTGAAAAATTAAAAAAATGTTGTGGTTGTGGTCGTGTCAATAATGATATTTTAAGTGAAATTCTTCCAAAGGTGAAGACTGGTGTTATTTATCATTTTTTATTTCGTTTTGTTTAAAAAAAAAAACTAATAAATTTCGTTAAACTATTTTTCACACAAAGGCAATAATGTCCTTTATATATAATTTGTGTATTAGATATTTAGTATAATTTCAAATACTGTTAATATTGACACATTATATAATACTCAACAAGACACTCAAATATCCTATGGTAGCATAGTTCAGTCAAAGAATCTATAGTACTATAGATTTTTTGGTTCAGTGATACGTATATCAACTTTGTTGTGGCTAAGTAAAATGAATAGTTCAGTACATTTAAATAAATTTTGTATACTTTCTTCTCAGATACTATTATTAAGTTAATAATAGTAAAATAAATATGTTAGTGTATGTAGCAATATTTTTTCATGAAATTTTTAATTTTTCGATAATAGATTATAATAGTTATAATTGATTCAAAATATTTATTTGAAGAAGTTGTAAGGACAACATTTTGATTGCGATTTTTCTGAAAATAAAAAAAATCTCAACTTAAAAAAAATAAAATATACAAAATAATTGTATATTCTTAACAAAAAAATTGTTAGAAAACCTGGAACTTGAGTATTGAAAGTTTCTGCAGCCTTGGCTACTTATAGAAAAATCCGATTAATCAACGCTTCTAATTTGAAAGGCACGAGTACTAATTCTGGCACTTGCAGTCCAAACAAATTATATATGGACTATTAACCAATTAAAAAATTCGAATATATCCTAAGACCACTGATAATTACAATTTGGCAAGACTCGAAACGGCGTTGTATGGTCAGTCAAATATCAATAAATTAACTAAATTTTTGTTATTGTCTTTTCTTTTCTATTCGAACTATTCTAACTTTCAAATTACTGTGTTGTTTGCCACAACAAAACTACCATGACTTGTGATTATAACCCAATGCTTACTATATGCAGAGCAAATAAAAAGTAAGTATAGTAAATAAGTAATTCATTACCTGAAATTGTTTTTTTTTCCAGTGTATTTGTGTAACAAATTATCTTTAGCAAAACTTTGTACATAGAATTATGGAATCCACATGAGCAATCAACTTTTCTATGCCTAATAGGATTAGCTTTTGTCACTTTCTACTGTCAGTGACATATTTACATTTATTGTACATTTTTTGCTCTATTTTCATATTTAATTTTGTTTATTATTCTCATGTTTATTTATTTTTGTAAGATGTTTTTGTTTGCCATTACAAAAGTTTTCCAGTTTTCCACAAAAGCCTAACCCACAAAATATGTTAACGTATGATGTGAGTTCGGTATCATGTGTGGCTTATAATCTCGTTGTCAACTACGAAATTGAGGAACACAATACTCTTATGTCTGCGAAAAGTCGAGGAATGCTGGCAAAGTACGTAATTGTTCCATGGTTTCGGTCAATTTTCTTCAATTCAACAGTTTTGCAAGGATTTGTGTATGAGTTTGCATTTATGTAAGTTAAATAATGTAATAAATTTACATACTTTCCGCCTATATTTTATTGTTACCACAAATATTAAGTACTTAATTATAATGTCGCAGGCGGTGTGAGTTTTAGTTTTAAACACCAACAAGAAACTTAAAACCACATAACAAATTTATATCGCATTCAATTATGTGTCATTTAAAAATAATTGTCTGAAAATTAATAATACTAAAGTAATTAAATAAAAACAAATCACATAAAATAGTTTTAAATTTATTTACAAACTTTTCACTATTATTGCTTGTTATATATCAATAAAATTGTGTGTATAACTCGAACACGTATATATATTAAAGAGTTAAGACATTTGAGAGTAGTACAAGTCTTTTCGAGTTCGGAATGGATATAGAATGTATCTTTCTATCTTAAAATTAAGATTTAGACTCCATCTTAATAGACATGTGATAGTAAAACGGAAAAAATCATTAAATGACGTCTATGGAATGTTATCTTCTGACCTGCCTTTGCAACCAACTAACCTGTATTTCGTCTCTCTTTGTGATGGATTTCGAACTATGAAGAATACGAAGATAAAGAAATAAATTAATAGAAATAACTGAAGGCCTTTCCAAATAGATAATCTAATCTAATAACCTTGATCTCTAAACCATTCTGCAGTTTTATGAAGACAGCACATTGTAGAAAAACTCAGATATTAGAAGGAATGACTATTTAAGAACTTCTGTACAAAAAACTAACCAACTAACTCAACCAACCTATTCAAGGCAGTCTCAAATAGACTCTTTACTCTAAACTATAAGGTTGCAAAAATTCTTAATATTATATATTTATATACCATACAGTATATATAAACCCTAAATGACAGTCTAGACGACAATTACGGACTTTAATACAAACACTAAGCTATGCAATTTATGAACTCACTATCCATGATATTACCATAGTTAACTTGAACATAAAAAGATCTACACTGATGGTTGTTATTTTTCATAGTCACGTAGAAGTAACGTACCACGGCATTTTTTACTTTAAAGTCGCACAAAACTTATATTATTCCCATACTCATTTGAATTATATTCACCATGTATAGCTCATTCTTTAAGAAGCAGAACGGATTTTTACCTCATCGTCCTAATTTTTTTTATGACTTTTTTTTAAGAATTTCTTTTTAAAACAACGTATTTGCATTTCGGATATAAGAGATTCAGACTCATTGGGTTTTGAATATTTAAAACCAATGTTAAAATGACCATATCTCGGGCGCTGTCAATTGTAGTCACGAAGAAGTAAAGTACCACGGCATTTTTTACTTTAAAGTCGCACAAAACTTATATTATTCCCATACTCAATTGAATTATATTTACCATGTATAGCTCATTCTTTAAGAAGCAGAACGGATTTTTACCTCATCGTCCTAATTTTTTTTATGACTTTTTTTAAGAATTTCTTTTTAAAATAACGTATTTGAATTTCGGATTCAGACTCATTGGGTTTTGAATATTTTAAACCAATGTTAAAATGACCATATCTCGGGCGCTGTCAATTGTAGGTATAAATTTCCTCCATGGTAAAAATAATTGGTTGAACTTTGTACAAATAATATAATATAAATATATATATATATATAAATATAATATAAATATGCATAAAAATTTTAATTTAGATTTATTACGAAATTAAATTTAAAACTGAAATATCTCTGGTGGCATTATTTTTAGAATTATTTTTAAAAAAATAATTTAATATGCACTTCTCATATAAATACAAAGCATATAAGAACAAAATTCCAGTTTAAAAAAATATTAAAAAACATGTCCCCAAAAATTTATCAAGTTCTATTTAAAAATAGGGATTTCCGGAATAATATAACTTTTAGAATTATGATAAATAATATATCATTCAATTTACATATAGTACGCATTGAGTTTCAATGAAATTAAGTTTTAATAAATGTATAAACAGAAATATTAT